ATCACAGAGTGGCTCATAGCCTGGATAGTGTGTTTACTTTTTGTCCTGTTGTGTTAGTAAAGGAAAAATAGTAACTGAAAAGCCTTGAAAAAGGGCAACAAGGATGACTAAAATTTTGTTATGGCTTCTGAAGGCAGAAGGACTGGGAAAACAAGAAACCTTTAACCTAGAAAGGAAAGGGCATAGGGCAATGTGGCAGTGGGAAAAAAAATATAAGGAAAGCTTGGCTTGGAATCATCTTTTCATTCTCCTTTTCTACACTAGATGTGGGATGAAGCTGGCAGCAGCAGTGGTTAAAATTTTAAAAAGGAGATATATTTTTCCATGCAGAAGTTGTGACCTGTGGATCAGTTTGCTGTACCATATTGGAACAGAACAGCTGATATGGGCAGGGATCTATGGAGATTGCCTAGTCAAAACCCCCTCCTCAGAGGAAAAGCTGATGTATGTTCAAGGGAAGATGGTGTAGGTAGAGACTCACTGACTTCTACTGAATAAATAAAAACAGGCTCAAATCCCCACTTGAGAGAATGTAAGAGAGTACTGGAGGACAAACAACGTGCACGTTTAATATTTTTCCTGGCAATCCCCTTATGGCCACTGCTGGAAATAGTGTACAGGGTTATATAGTTCTTTGCTTGAATCCATACACACTTTATTTTGTTTTCATGTATCCTAATACATACACACAATGCAAACATTAAAATATTCATGCTTCCCTAAGTGTAAAGAACTAGGCAGTCAATTATGAAATCAGCTGAATCCATTTTATCTACATATAAATGGAATGGCATCTGTTCTCATAGATGAAACAGAGTGTACTGTGTTCACAGCTCATGCAAACATGAGAACCTATTGTTTTATGACTTGCCAGTTTTAGAGAGTCTAATGGTCCAGTGGGGATGCTTCTTCCATATAAAAAATTAACTCGCTTCTTACATTTATTTCAGCGGGGTGAGGAACTCAGATGCATAGCTCTGTGTAATGTGTACTCTGCAACTTTGGTCAAACCTTGCAAGCTGTCTTTCACCATCTAAATGAAATTAAGCTTTTCAATTAGCAATCTTCCAGTGGAAGTATGTTTTTCCTGTTACCCAGCAAACAAGACCTGAGTAAGCCTCAGAACAAACACTTTACTATTAAGTTACTTTTTGAGTTGATGGGGACACACAGCTGTGTAAATGTTCCCCATGTTAAGCCTTTTGAAGTACAGAGGAACCTTTTCTATATTGCCTGGAGGTACAGTTGACATGAACAACTTCAAAGAATAGTTCTATTTCCTTTGGGGTAAAAGACTGAATGTACATTACTGATAAATTACATTTCTGTTTCAGAACACCAAATCCTAAACAAGTTTGAAGAAAAATGATTTTTTGGATACAGTTGCCTAGGTTGCCCTACAAGACTGCACTTCTAGGGTCTCCTCACAACAGTTTGCTTCTTACTAGTAGTATATTGTTTACCTTATACAAGCTCTAAGACAAACAGTTCTACATTACCATTTCTTATCTTATATGCTGTCTGCATACCACAGCCAGTTATATGTCTTCCAGTTTTTTGCTCATACACTCTCTCCATATTGAATTGTTTTAATCCCTTTTCTAGATCCCTGAAGAATTCTTATCTAATTATGAGGACTACTGCTCCTTGCTCAAACAGATCAAGAAAGTTAGAACACATAGGTACTGGAAACAAGATGCTCTAATATCTAAACTCTGCCTCTTTAACAGTAAAACAAAAGAATAGACAGGTAGATATCATAATGTTTAAAAATAATTGCACTTTATTTGGAGGAAATGTAGAATAACATATTTTTATTTTAGATTTTTTTCTAAGATCTCATGAGTTGAAGGAAAAAATAATTCTCATTTTTATGATCAGTAATTCTGTTGATCAAATATTCACTCTTACCTGTCTTGTGTATAAAATAATCTTGTAAAGATGCTGCCAAAAACTTCAGTTCTGAAACAAATTATGTAGTCAAATACATACCAAAAAATGGATTTAAAATCCACCAGTCTTCCTTTGTGAATCAAAAAAAGGGTCAAACTTGTGGTGCTACACATTTCTCAAAATTATAACAATAAATACATAACAATAAAAATAAATTATAAAAAAAAAAAAGATTGAAAAAGACAGAATGACATCAAAAGTTTCTTCTGTTTTCCCAAAAAAAAAACTTGATTACAAACCCCATATGTCTTATAAAGTGTTGAAAAAGTACAATGAATCTATAATATTCAAGATCATAATCTAAGGCAAGACCTGTCGTAGGACTGGTGACATTATTTTCATCCGATCGGGCTGAAAGCACTACACAGTTAACCCAAGATGCTATGACTTCTGAACCTAATCAGCAGGAAGTACCTGAAATGAACATCTGAAAAAGGCCAATGCAAGAATTAGTGGGGAAGGAAGGATCTTTTTTATTATTATTATGCTTACATTTTGAAATCCCAAACTAAACATACAAAAGATGCAAAAGTGGAGATGAGCCAACTGTGGATTAAATACAACGAGAAATTTCAGAGTATTTTATGTCAACAGCTTCTCTTCCCCAGAATACTTGGAACATACCATGAAAAGGCTTTGGAATTCCTATTACATATTATATCAATCATATGTATATTGGATTGAATTGTCTTCTAAAAGCCCCCCTGAGCCCAATGTTATCTTTATTATTAATTTGCTAATTCATATAGTGTTTATTGTTGTGGCAGCCGGCACCTTTAATTGAGAAGACTGAAATACAAAGGAAGGTAGGTGGGCATCCTTTCAGATGGTAATCTGTTTCCTGAAGCACTGAATCAGTGGCAATCTGCCCAGGATAGAACTGAATTACAACTCCCAGCATCCCACTCATTTCCAATGAGTTGTTTTATTTTTAAACCAAGGGTTTGAAGACAGAAAGATATTTCAGATAACACACAATTCAAGGACTATCCCAAAGGGTATTTTTCATATTCATTTCAGGAAGAGGCCTGTAGGGTTGTTCATGTAATTGATTCCCACATAATTCAAGGAAAGTTGAAATGTTCATTGTACTACTGAGTAAAATATCACATATATCATAGCTGAAGCTGGCAGTGGTGCTCACAGTTAAGGCAGCCTGACACTTGCCCATTACTGGATCATTTTCAATACTTCCTGTTTTCTGATCTACCAGCCACAAGATTAAAACATCTCAAGACATATCCCCATAACAAGAATAAGCAATACTAATAATACTAAGCAATGCTGGATTAATGTCCTTTTGCTTCCCATTCCACAGTGTGTAACAGGCATTTAGACTCTATTTATTTGAATGTTTGTGGTGTTTTGCTAGAGTAGTAATTTCTCCCTTCCTTTTTTTTTTTCAATTCCACTTTTCCATCCTCCATATAACTTCTATCCCCCAGTCTGTACATGAGCATTGTTCAGATTGCTTGAAACATGTGAATGGAAGGGTACAATAGGAATAGGGTTCACATTGTAACATTCACAGTACAGGAGCAAACCTGACTTTATGATCTTTTTATGTTTCTTACTTCTATTTGTACACATTACTTGGAATGTTAGCACCTGCTGAATGATAGGAAAGGGAATTATGTCTGTTTTCTAAAGCATCTCAGCATAAGAGAGGAAATCAGCTGATGTCTTTTCCCTGGACCCCATCAAAAGGAAATTGATATCAAGCATGTCACTTCTATTTGCAGGATCATAGCCATATCTTACATCAAGCTACCTTACTGTAGTCTTACAACACTGATGAAAACCTTTGTAATCTTGGCAACACTAAAAATTTCTGATCATAATTGCTTTCAAATTCCCCTACTCTCATTCTTTGAAGTCCTCCTGATGGTCAATGCTGGGCTCAGAAGCAAGTGCAACATAAGTATCCTTACAATGTTTGGTGTAAGCTTCCAAGCAGAAGAGGGGAGAAATATAAGCAATTTCATTTAATTCAGAGGATTCATCTGTGAAAGATGAAAGGGTGTTGCAGTACCTAAAGCTTGAAAAAAGGAGTCTAGAGTGAATATGGGCTGGGAAAGAAGAAACAGGAGAATGCATAGGATTGAATTTTCAAACTGGTGATCAAACAATAATGAGCGAAACAGGTTGTGAGACATCTGAGTCATGACAGAAGTCTTTGTGCAGGTAGTAGCCCACTGCAGAATCAAGAGAGTGTCAATTACTTTAGCATGCATTGAAAGATCTAAACCATAATATTTTTTGAGTTGTCATGGGATAAACACTATTTAATATCTTCATCAATGACATGGGTAGTGGGATCAAAGGTACCCTCAGCCAGTTTGCACATGACACCAAGATGAGTGCTGCAGTTGATTCACATGAATAAAGTACCCAGAGGGACCTTGAAAATATTATTTTATATGAGAAGATACTTACATTTCTTTCTTAAGAGTGTTTATAAAATAAATTCTTAGTATCTTAATATTTCTACAAATGTAGCAAATGAAAAGGGACATAGGTATTAAGATTAGACATAATAATGTAAACAATCTATAAAGTAGTCTAGTCTAATTTTAAAGCCATATTACAAGTATATAAGATATAAAATTACATGTATTTAAACAGAAGTCTTTAACAGCTGGAGAATGATGATGATGGATTTTAGGACATTGTTTTGGGTATGTGTCTGTGCACAGATGTAAAATGTAAATTACCTGTCATCTAAATTTGATTGCAAGTTCATTATCCCTTTGAGTACAAAATACATGAGTACAAACATATCTTTAACATAATTTTAAATATTTTAGGGTCATTTTATGTTAGACATTTCCATACATGATTCTGAAAAGCACTAGAAGATAACTTTTCAGATAGAAGGGTCTGATGTTAAGCAGTGAATGGTTTAAGATAACAATATTTTTGAGCACTAGATTGAGCACCAAATCCATTTGAGTTCACATAGTGCACATAGTATCAGTAGTGCCCTGAAATACTAAAAAATCAATGTGTATTAACTAAAGCAATTATTTGACAGTATTCATACTAACCTGCAGTGAAATGTTCTTCCAGGTCCATCAACACATACACCTCCATTGTAACACAGAACTGAGTTCAGTGTGGACTCACTGCAAACATCAATATCAACTTCACAAAACCTGCCAGTGTACCCACTCAGGCAAGCACAAACAAATGCATTGATGCCATCTTGACAAGAACCGCCGTTAATGCAGGGAGCAGATTCACATTCCTGAGAAATAATAATACATTGATTACACGTCTTTCAAACACATTAGTTATTCATTCATCTCAACAACTGCAAGAGACAAAATCTGGAGATTAGAAAAAGTATTATAAAAAGTATTGGACTTTTTTGTCCGATAAACTAGTGTCTAATTTGACACAATTTTTTGTTTATATAGCGATCCTTTGATTACAACTCATACTCACTATACTTGTTTCTACTCATTAATCTTGCAGAGGTGTAAATATAGCTCTTTATATAAGCAGTCTTACAGCCAAAAGTATGCAATCCCGCTCATGATTAAATTTTTAAAGTATGTTTTCTAGCCCCAGTCTGTGCAATTATTGCTTCTAATTTTTTACATTAGGCTCTACTGCTGTGAAAGAAACACATTAGTAAGGCAATTATGGACAGAATAAAGAATTAGTTATATAAATGAATGCACACAAGCCTTTTATCAGTATTTCCTGATAAATGTTTTCTCATTATCAATTAATGCCTAATATTGCAAATAGAAACATATTTATGTGTTCACATAATAACAATTTCCTCTGATAAGGCTAATGTAAAAATCATCAAATTCAAACCACACAAATTAGCAGCAAGTTAATATTTCTCCAGAATTACAGGAGAGTTTAGTTAGTGCAATAGCCAGCGCAAAAAATGTGTGTTTGCCCTTGATCACAGAAACCTAATTTTCACCTGTATCCCAGAGGAGTTGTATTTTGCAGCTTCAACCCAAATAGTCTAGCTAAATCCAGTATTTTAAATTTATTTTCACACTCCCATAACTTTAGAATCCTTAATTCTTTAAGGATATCCAAGGGCACTCACATTTCCTGCAGGTACTACAGTAGATTTGACAGAATGTAAATGCAGATATCCAGGGGGAATTGTGAGAAAACAACTTATTTTCCTATAAGCTCTCCAGCTGGGTGTATATAGGATGATTTATTAGTGAGCATTACATAAGCTAATTGAATTATATATCCCACAGGAAGATGGAGATAGTCCTACAGACTGCCAAAATTCCTGTGTCTAGGTTCTAGAAGTGGTCTTTTACTATATTAAATACATTTTTTGTTGGCAGACAGTAGTGTTCTTTTATTGTTTATAAAAAAATCTCAATTCCCAGTTCCAACTCTCTTTTTTCTATTCCATTAACTTGTCTAGTCTTCTTAATTTGTATTCACTTGTATTCCACACTACAAAGCCAAAATTTATTTAATCTCATTAGCAGAATAAATTAAATCTATACCAATTAATGGATCAAATTTTTACCTAGATTTGATTCAAAAGTTAAAGTCCAAAAAATACCAAAATTATCAAAGTAACTAAGGATAAATTCAAAGCTCAGATAAATGCTCACAGTTTTGATTCAATACACTATCACAGTTGTACCAAGTTGGGAACAATGCAAAACTGTGTTATTGTCTTCTTCCAAATGTATTGATAAGATTTTACAGTAAGATAAATGTCAGATAGTTTGTAGGAAAGAAATCACACCTATCACTTTCCAGTAGATTTTGATGTGCTGCACTTAGAAGTTTGTCATTAGACTTGCAAAAAACCAGAATACACTATTACCAGAGACATGCTAGTCTGCACTGCTCTTAACTCATGCAAGAATGTGTCAGTGAAAAGACACAACTATGGTAATGATGCCATGAATAACTTTATCCCAAAGTTGATGAGCTACCACATTATCACCAGATGCTGTAGTTTGTAGTATAAAAACAAGGACGTGAGATGAGAAACTGAAGTTGCAAGACAACTGTTACCAAGTTTTGCCTATCTTAGCTCCCAACAGAGACTGATTTTACAACATGATATTAGGGAATAGCAGGCTCTGCAGAAAATTCCCAGCTACCCTAATTATCTGAAGGCAAGTTCATTGAAACACCAATGCTATTTTCACTTTCTCTTCCTTTAAATAATAGGAGATTGAATCTTAACTATGATCCCTAACCTGACAGTTACCAAATCAGAGCAACATTAGTAGGGACTCACAGTCCTAGAAACATTCCCTCTCTTCTTCCCTATAGTAGGAGAAAAATACTTTCTTGGTCACCTCTGTTGACCAGTTCCCAACCTAATAAGAAATCTTTTAACCTTTTCTTGCTGGTCAGATAAGGAAAATTGCCTTTGAATAACTGAGAAAAATTAAAACTACGCTAATAATATTCAAAAGATGGGTCATTTTAGCTTTTCCAAAACACAAATGTGTTGATATAGGAGTGTCACAATTTATTTATACCTAAACTTGCACCTTCTTATTTTCGTGGAGTCTTTTCAGTCTTTACTAAATCTGAAAATTAATTTTGAATAAGAATTTAAAAATGCATGATTTTTAAGCTTTAGAGACAAAATCTTAATCTGACTGCAAACATCTTAATACTCTGTGCAACTTCTACTAACAATTTGCTAGCAATAAATGTTTAGGAACAAACAAAACAAAACAAGAACCAAAGCCACTCATGTACACAGAAACACACAAAATCCAAAGACCAACCAAGCAAAAAAGAAATCACCACAAAAAAACAATACCAAAATTAAATTCCTCCCAAAAGGCACAAAATTACTTTCAGCTCTGTTTTGGACTTCTCAGCAGAATTTTTCCATTTAGAAAGCAGAGACATGCTGAGACCTCCAAGTCTTGCTGAGCAGTCATAACACTGAGAGATAAAGGGGCAATAACATTGACAGTTTGGTCCCCAATTTTTCCTCCTCAGGACTTTGTACAGACCTCAAGCACTCCTTTTAATTACTTTACCCTCAGATTTCTTAATATTTTTCAAGTGCTACTTTCATTTTTATTTTCCTCTGAGGACACCAAAAATCTCATTGTATGACTGGGGCACTTTTGGCTCGCCCAGCTGTGTCCGGGAGGCCCAAGGCTTCCCTGTGGCCGTGGCAGCACTGGGGCCCTGTGTGCGTGTACCACTCTCCAAATTCACACCCACCTGGCCTCACCGCCCTGCTGCTCTCCAGCCCAAGCAGCAATACGCTGTTATAGGCCTGGCAGACGGCTTCGTTTAACACAAGAAATGGAGATAACTCGGGGTACCCCTCTGCTGTTGTCCTGTTAAAATAGCTTCATGTGGCAAGGTTTTGCTTGCAGGGGGAGGGGGGGGGTAGGCTGTGGGGTGGGAAGCACTCTGTGAGGGGAGAGCGGGGCAGCCCCAGCCAGACACAGCCGGTTCCAACCAGACACAGCCGGTTCCAGCCAGACACAGCCGGTTCCAACCAGCCACAGCCGGTTCCAGCTGGATCCACCACCCACGGCAGGCCGCAGCTGAGCCACGGCCCAGGGCAGCCCCAGCCAGACACAACTGGTTCCAGCAGACACAGCAGGTTCCAGCAGAAACAGCCAGATCCAGCTGGATCCAACCATCCACCATGGGGCACAGCTGACCCCATGGCCAGGGCATCAGCAATGTATTTAGAAAGCATACAAAAATGTGTGGAATAGCGTGAGACACATGTGAGAAAAAAGTATGAAAACCCTTGCAGGCTGAAGGATCAGAGAAGAAGGAGGGGGAGGCAGTGTCCACCAGGAATCCCTGGGAAGATCCTCAAGAAGACTATTGTGAAGCAGGTTTGTCCCTTCTAGCCCACAAAGGACCACATAGGAGCAGATATCTTCACTGCCACATGTGTGACCATCACACCACAGCAGGCAGATGTGCCCTGAAGGAGGCTGCAGCCCATAGGAGAACCCATGCTTGACCATGCTCCTGGCAGGAGCTGTAGTAAGTGGAGAGGAGCATCAGCAGAAACACATTTTCTGGCAGGTTGGAAGGAAAGTATTTTAGTTTTTCATTGACAGTAATTTAATTTAATCTTTTCTTGTCCTTATCTTGACCCACAAACTTCTCTTCTTACTTCTTCCTTCTCTTCTGATAAGGAGGGGGACTGCAGAAGAGGCTGTGTGGATGTCTGGCAGCCAGACAAAGGGAACTCACCACACCTGGCTATTCATAGGCTGTAAAATTTTCTTTTCTGTCCTATAAGAGCAAGTAACCTGTCCAAATGGAGCTGTAATACCTAGCTTTTCTGTGGCCATAATTGCCCTTTTTCTTTTTCCCTTTCTGTTTAATTTGTTCCATTTGAGGGCAGCTTTAGCCAAACCAGGGTCACAGGCACACACAGACAAGTAAACCATGATGGAAAAGCTGCTCATAGGGCCTTCTCATAATTTTTTTCTGAATGGGTTTGTTGCTTACACTGTCACTGAAATACCTCAAAATGCCCCACCCTTACTGACTTCACTTGGGGTGTTCTGCTTATTCCCAAGCCTTCCTCACATCCACAAGGGATGCCCAGTACTCACACTTTACAACATACCAATGTTCCGCTTCCCAGCTCATCTTTCAAAACATGGATTACTTTAATAAGCTCCAATGCAAAGAAAATAAATGATTTAACAAAATAAAATTTAGGCAGTTGTCTAGGTAGTCTAACACACTTTATTCTCATCCAAATATCTTTCCTCACATCTGACCTCCTACGAGTAAAGCAGGAGGGGTCCCTTTCAGTAGGGATTTCTTATTCTGAGTTTGTTGGTCTTTTCTGTGAAGCATGGACTTTCTCCATTTTGACCTAACATGGAATCCTTTGAGTTTATGTATTGCTAAAAGGCAATGAACTTGGAAAACATTTAAAAATTATAATGGACAAGCTATCAACATGAATTTCTATTGGAATGCTGTGGAAAAATTGCTAGTTCTGCCCTTAAGCCTTCAGAGAGGGGAACTGTGACTTATACTATGACTTACTAAGACAGGTGATTATTTCTCTTTTTATGGTTAGTGGAAACTGAGACATTGTGCCAAGTTCTTGAATCGGTTTATTACAAAGCATGTGAAAAAATGTAGACTATAACATGATTTAAGTACTAGCTAAAATGCTTCACAGTAAGTTAAATCTAAGAAAAATAATACAATAGAATTTTTAGAATAGAAATTTTTTTCAAAAACCATTATTACAACATATATATATATAAT